GTCGAAAGGTTTGCCTCTGACAACACCCATCCCTGCACAGCAGTGTCTGGAGTACTCAGATGACGTTTGTCCAGGACATCACCTCTAACACCTCCCTAAGACCCTCTCAACCTGCTTGCTTTCCCTGCCCTGAGGAAGCTGACTATTCTTCTGAGAGTGTGAACGAGAAACCTCTCTGGGGCGTTTTCCTGCAATCCATCTCGTGTACATGTTTGAGAGGTATAAGAGCAGAGTTCTCTGTAGCCCAGTACAGTTTCTGCAGAGGCTCCTGAGCCCCCGAGGCTCGAGACTGGGTACCTGTTCTAGGAATAACAGCACACTGGTGCACATACTTTTTAGGTCTGGGCTAGAGACAGTGGTGGCATGCAGTTCCCGCCTTAGGAGATTATGTCAGGGTCACCTTTCCTTTCCGTCACTGTCCTTGCTTTGATTATTGTAAATGGGGTCTTCGTGTGGTGTTTGTGGCACACTCTGTGCACCCTCCAAGCATACTAACATAGAGTAGACAACCCTGCAGATGCCCAAGTGGGTATTGGATGTGTAAGATTGTCAGACTTCAGCCCAACACGAGACTTTAGCACTCAAGAGGCTGAGGCAGGAGGATTGTGAGTTGATGGCCAGCCTGGGCTACTCAGCAAGTTTGAGGCCAGCTGAGCAAGACCCAGGATTGAGGGGGGGGACTTTTGTAAATGAAATTCACATTCTAATTTGACAAATTACAAAACTCTTAAGCCTGGTTTCAGGGCATTTCTTTCCTTTTTTTAAAAAAAGATTGATTTATTATGTATGCAGTATTCTGCCTGCATGTGTCCCTGCAGGCCAGAAGAGGGCACCAGATCTCATTACAAGTGGTTGTGAGCCACCATGTGGTTGCTGGGAATTGAACTCAGGACCTCTGGAAGAGCAGTCGATGCTCTTAACCACTGAGCCATCTCTCCAGCCCCAGGGCATTTATTAAAAAATTATTATTTATGTGAACTATAAACTAAATATATTCAGCAGTAGATATACTTTAGTGTTGGTGCTGAGAGTCTGTAATGCCAGTTAGAAGTCAGGGTGCCATGGTGGGGAGGAGGGGCTCTGCACCCCACAGCATGGCATCAGATTCCACTCCCTCCACGTCTGCAGATGAGGTGCCTCTGCTCCAAATCTCACCATAGGCCCCAGTAATGGAGAGCGTTTCTGTCCTTATCATGCCATGAGCCACCACATGCTAAGTGCCTGCTTCACTGATGGTGGCTGCCCTCTTCGGTCCAGCTGGTTGTGGGCACGTTGGCTACAATTTCCTCATGTGTCTCAGTGTAACAATCCCACAGAGTTCTTCTGTCCTTAAATTCTCACTCACTAAGTGGGAAGCAGGTCCCCCTGAATTGTCGGCTCTGATCCACAGCACAGTATGGATTGGGTAGAAATGAGACCCTTGTTATCCTTGGGGAAAGCCCGTCATTAGGGTGTTTGTTGGTTTTTAAACACATGCTGTACTCAGCACCCTAAACAAAGTGAGGAAATCAGAGGCTTTCTGTGAATAGCCAGCTTAACCAGGAACCTGCTTCATGCAGTATCTCAAAAACTTCAAAAAGACATAGAAAATGTCAGGCGTTTGTACTGGCCTCTGTGTCCGCGTTTCTTCTTAGTAGTGAATGAAATGGAAGATGGGGACAGTGTGGGGAGAGTGTTAATTCTGTTGTCATCCCCTGCCCTCTCCCTGAGCCCTTTCTTTAGAAAGTCCCCATATTATAGGAAGGCATCTTTTTCTAGTCATGTGCAGTTATATATGGCATGGCCCTGCAGAAAGCTGGGGTACACACACACTCCCACCTTTTCCCTCCCTGGGTCCAGGAGAAAGTCTCTATGTCTCCCTGCACTTGTCTTTGCTTCTGGTAAAGCTCAGGCGTTGAGTGGGACCTTGGGAATCTGCACTGCGACTCAAGTGCTGACCACTGGTTCAGAAGCCCCACTTTCCCTCCACAACCTGCCCTTTGCGAACAAACCTTCAAGGATTCAAAGGATTAGTACAGATTTCAAGCTGTGGTTCCTCAAAGGGAACCTCAGAAGTAATCGTAGGACTCTAGGCCCCCAGCTTCTTGCCTCTTCATAGAAAGTGAAGCCCTGGGATTATTTTCCACCAAGTTTAAAATAGATTTGTGAGTATCTACATAGCACCATTCCTTCCAGGGCATTCTTGCTTTCTCGGAAGTAAATGGCATCAGGCTCTTGCAGCCCTCCGAGGGCAGTGCTTCAGGAGGAGTGCATCTCTGAGCTGCACTAAGATGCCGTTAGTACTGCCCTGGCTTGATCTGTTGGTCAGAATGAGTTTGCTGTGAACTCCCTGGTTCTGATAAGGCCTTCACCAGACCCCAGTGCTCTGCACAGAGCAGCTGTCAGAACGCAGAGGGACCTTAGAACTCACCTTCACCTACCTATTGGATTAGATTAGTTCCTGAGACCTCCAACAGGTCTTTTTAAGAAGATTTCCTGAAGTCTTGAGCTTCAATCAAATGACCAAATTATTAGTTAGTCATTACTCCCATTGTGGTAGTCATACAGAACCCCAAATTGTCAAGTTATTTTACTAGTTTTTAAAACACCACTATAAAACTAAGGCATTCTCAAAGTTTACAATGTAATGAAAGTCACATTTAAGTATGGTGGGTTTTCTTTGAGGTTATATCATGTATTTAATGAAAATGTAAGAAGACACAAATTTTTGTTTTTAAATGCTTTCTTGAAAAGGTAATTATTTGCTTTGAAATTAGACCAGATTTGAAAATACTCGTTTTCTTATAAAGGTATATATGTTTTCATGTTTTACAGAACCAAGGTTATAATCAGTAGTGAAACTGCTTTCCAATTGCCAATGTAGAATGGAGTCCTGAGCATCAATCCCTCAGGAATCAGATTGGCAGCCATTAAAAGCCTTACTAAAGGATACATTTCCCATAGTGAGGGAAAGTGACTCTCCCCACAGCTCTCCTCACGACTCTGTCACTCAGTACTTCTCTTCTGCCCTGCTGAGCTGAGTGGTGTGCCTGAGTTTCAGCGCTTCCCCACCAGAGGAATTGCTTAGGACCATACTTCCTGGGGATTAGAGACCCAGGAGATTGAGTAAGTGACTCAGAAATGGTCTGTGTTTCCTAATAACTAAGGATGATTAATACCAGCAGGGCAGCCAGTTCCTGCTATATTAAACCACTGAAAACAGGAATTCTAAAGGTAATAAGTAAAGGAACAAGGAGGAGCCATAGGCTATATGACCTGAGCATTAGTTCCAAACTCACACAGGCTCAAAGAAGAGCAGCTCACACCCGGCAGGCAGGCAGCCATCAATGAGACCTCTGTTACATTAGTGGGCCACCTTCCCAGTACCCATGTCTATGCATGGCTCTGGGCGTGTGCACTTACATGGGAGGCAAGATCTTTCTTGTCCATCTGCCTGGCATTGGCAAATAAATACCAAAAGCCTTAAGAAGGTGTTTCATTCTGTCATGCAGAATTCCAGTCCTCACTCAACATTTGAGGAACAAAAAGACTAAGTGACCTGGTTTTGGAGTCCTAAGACAGCTAATTTTTATTTCTTTCAATATGACCTGATGAGATACCAGCAAAATTTTCTGACAGGTGTGTGTGTGTGTGTGTGTGCATGTACATGCAAGTACATATATGTTTGCTCTGGTTTCCTTTAGTATGAGTATGTGACAATGGTTCTCAACCTGTGGGTCATGACCCCTTTAGGGTCAAACATCACAGGGGGTCACCAAGACCATCAGAAAACACAGCTAGGGGCTGGAGAGATGGCTTAGAGGTTAAGAGCACCGACTGCTCTTCCAGAGGTCCTGAGTTCAATTCCCAGCACCCACATGGTAGCTCACAACCATCTGTAATGAGATCTGGTGCCCTCTTCTGTATACATAATAAATAAATAAACCTTTAAAAAAAGAAAAAGAAAACACAGCTAATTACATCATGATTCATAACAGTAACAAAATTACAGTTATGAAGTAGCAATGAAAATCATTTTATGGTTTTATCACCACAGCATGAGGAACTGTGTTAAAGGTTGCAGCATTGAGAAGGTTGAGAAGCACTCCTCTAAGAGAATAGGTCAGTTCTTTTGTGTAGCTCGGTAGCTCTCCACAGTAGTTTTCTGAAGCAGAATCCCTCATTGAACCTAGAGCTCAATGATTCCATGATCTGCCTGTCTCGACGTCCCCATCTGGAATTCCAGGTGCACTTGATTGCCTGGCTCTTTAAATTGGCTCTAAGGACTGAACTAAGGTTCTCACGCTTGTGCAGCAAGCACTTAGCAACGGAGCTATTTTCCCGCCACTCATATCCTCTATCTAAATTTCCCCACTCACCTCACTCATTCTACATTTTATTGTTTAATTTCACATTTGACTTCATGATTTTGTTTTTGATCCAAGGGCTAGAGAACATACAGCCAGTGTTGATTTGATGTGCACTTGATTTGATGCCTTTTGATGAGAACTCTGACTGCAGGGGCCACTCAAGGCCCGGTTGTAATTCAATAGAATTTGATTCTGCTGCAATTTCAAACAGAGAACTAAGATTTCAGTTCCAGTGAAGTTTTTGAGGGCTACTGTATCAGGAAAGTTCAGAGTTCAATATGTGCTACTTTATAATTAAGAGAGCTGCCCTAGCAAAACATGGCCAGCCACATGGACCCTAGACACACTGTGTCCGAGGTTCTGTCTCAGCCCAGAAGGACCTACAGAGTCACAGAGCTCTGGAACGCTCATGTCCCTGGTGTCTGCAGGAGACTCTAGGTTAATCCTCATTTACATGTTGTTTGCTCACAAGTCAGTGAGGCCACTTGCCAGATGAGGAGTGTCCGGCCTTCTCCCCACATGGTTCTCAGTGTTACCCAATTGTTCAGGGCTCAGCAGCTCAGGGCCAGCATTAGCGGCTCCATGTGGCTCTTCCTGGCTGCTGCATGGGATGAATGAGTGATGCTAATCACTTTCCCTCTTCTCCTCCAGGATGACTGCAGCACCTCCACTGCAGATGAGGTGGACACCTCCATGACCACGACCACGACCAGTGCCTTCACCATCCAGGAGTATTTTGCCAAGAGGATGGCCCAGTTAAAGAGCAAGCCACAGGCCTCGACTCCAGGGCCTGACATTTCAGAGACCTCTGTTGAATGGAAAAAGGGGAAGAAAAAAGCCAAAGAGGCAGCAGGCACAGATGTGGAGAACTCTCCCCAGCACAAGGCCAAGCGACACAAAAAGAAAAAGCATGCAGAAGTGGAGATGGAGCCTATAGGCAAGAAGAGAGACCGAGCCAAGCTGCAGTCTGGAGGCCCCAGTGGGGATGAGTGTTCCGATGCCTCTGCCGGAGCTGCAGAAGATTGTGTACAACCACCCGACAGCCAGGATGATGCCCCAAAGTCCAAGAAGAGAAAGGCAAAGAAAAAGTTGCAAAGGCCAGGAGGGGTAGCAATAGACTCTACACCAGACAAGGCACTCATGAAAAAGAAGAAGAAAGCTTCCAGATGACCTCTCACCAGCCAGGGCCTCCGACCTGTCAGCACACTGCGGGGCAACCACTCTGGCCTGAAGTCAGCACGGTGAACCCAGGCAGCTCAGCATCTTCACCATGCCCACAGGTTGCCAGCTCTCACCTGCTCACCACATTTCCCCCCAGTCACCTTCCTAAGAGAGCTGATTTGAATGTTCTAGATCATGACTTTTCAATAAATAAAATAAATTTCAATAAACAAATAGATTCTTTCTTATACACTGAGCCTTTCACATGAGTATTTATTCAAATCCATACAAATACAGAGGTGTGTGTGTGTATGTGTGTGCATGCGCACGAGCGAGTGTGTGGGTTTGCTCTGGTTTCCTTCAGTAACTGACTGGTGCTTCCTTCTGAAGGACTTAGTCTAATTAAGGGATTAAGAGGCAGTGACTTGGATGCAGATGGTTCCTTTTGTTCTGCAGCCAGCCATACATTTCTGCCAAGTGGGAATTACAAGACTGCATTCCCCAGTGAGGGCATTGCTGTGCTGTGCTTCAGTGTTGGTGGGCGGATGTTTCTCCTGCTGAGTGCTGGCCACGGGGATCCCAGGCCCCCCTCCATGACAGCACCAGTTGGGGACAGTGAGTGCCTGGCTTTCATAGGTCACCAGGGGTTCCTGCACTAGGTGTAGTCAGACTTACTTCAATCTCATGTTCCTTGAATGAATCCCCTACAATGAGCTTGTCTGTGTATAATGATCAGGAGGTCCCCAGGAAGTTCAAAGAATGGAGACGCTAAGGCATGAAGCTGATTGTCCTCTTGAGGGCAGGCTCTGCATTAGGACCGATTTATGGAAGCTCTTGCAAGTGTAGATATTTATGAGTAGACCAAGACACTTTTAGCCGTGCTCAGACCAGGTGCTGTTGCCTCATGCCCACATGCCATCCCCTTGCCACACACCCACACGCTTTCTAAGTGCCCCTGCGAGCCAGCCAACTGCTGAGCGTGGTGGTGGAACCCTCAGCCTGTGTCCTCTCTGCCATTCCCCTTCTTTCCTCTGCCTTCACTTCTTCTGTCTTCTTTCTAGCGCTCCTTGTGTTTCCAGTTCACATTTTCCTGCTTGCTTCTCAGACCCTGCCTCCCATCCTTCTGAGACAGCCTTGTGCCACTGGCCTTAGTTTTCATAGAACTGTCGAGGTAGTGGTGGGGACCACTCCACGGGCCTATGCCCACACTGTGATGTTTTGCCGTTGATCTTAATTTCTGGGGTCATGTGTTCCATGGGAAACTTGGCCCGGAGAGTCTTGAACTGGAAAATCCATGGAGTAGCGCTATTGTCTAAGAACGCTGATCAGTGTCAGTGGCTTCAGAAGACAGTCCACCACCCCAGAGAGGATCCGGGTGGACTTGGAGCCTGAAGCAATCTCCAGTTCTTTTTTTTTTTTTTTATGCGCATTGATGTTTTGCCTGCATGTATGTCTGTGTGAGGGTACCTTATCCCTGGAACTAGAGTTACAGACAGTTGTGAGCTGCCATGTGAGTGCTGGGAATTGAACCAGGGTTCTCTAGAAGAGCAGCCAGTGTAGTGCTCTTAACCTCTGAGCCATCTCTCCAGCCCCCAGTCTCCAGTTTCATCAGGTCTCCCAGAGTTTAGAATCCCAAGCCAATAAAGCCCCAAAGGTTTTTAAAGTCACTTTTCCTTCACAACTTCTTGGCTTGCCCTATCTTGTTTGTGAAACTAGAGACCCAGAAGGGAGCAGAGCTGTATGAAAACTAAAGGATACAGATCTTACCAGTGCATGCATGCTGGCCTCTTTTGCCTTTTGATGTATTGAGTTTAAAGGTTTGTTTACTAATTTATGAATATGACTATGAGTGTTTTGCCTGCATGTATGTTACGTACACTACGTGCATGCCTGGTGCCCAAAGAAATCAGAAGAGGGCATCATGTCCCCTAGAACTGGAGTTACGGATGGTTGTGAGCGGCCATGTGGATGCTGGGAACCCGGGGGGGGGGGTCTCTGCAAGAGCATTAAGTGCTCTTAACAGCGGAGCCGTCTCTCCAGCCCCAGTTAGAGTGTTATGTTGAATTGAATTTCCTAGATTAGTAGAAAGGCGAGAGCCGAGGGCTGGAGCTCGGTGACAGGGAGCTTGCCTGGCTCCATCTAGAGTGAAGAGAAGAAAGATGGGGAGAAGACAGGAGAGAAGAGAGCCGGAGAGCCGGAGAGCGGAGTTGTTGGCAGGACTGGGAACATATGAGATCCATTTAGGCTAACTGGAGAGATGAATCCCCAGCAGCCACAGGCAAGTGGCTTCAAGTCACCTTTTATAGAGGGATATAGAATGTAATTGTAGTTTTAATGGGCTCCTGGGTGATTTTCGTCTAGTTTGCGGTGCTGGGGAGCAAGCATGGGCCTATGCTTAGTAACTGTCAGTCAGCAATCTTAAGTAGGAGGCTGAGAAAAAAGCATGTGCTTAACTCAGAGTGCTGTGCGGCCAGGGGCTTTGAAGGAGACGCCTTCTCCAGAAGCCTCACCTGCCATGTTTTCCCACTGGTCTCTCAGACGGTGGTTGGGTCGGAGGGGAATTGGAATAATAAGAGAAGGACACAGGGAGCTGCATGTGACTGTCTGGATACTTGTAAAATCATCGGCACACGAGTCCTGCCTCTGCCCAGAGTTACTGCCCTAGGTAAAAATGCCTCAGTTCTACATCCTTCGTGGCTTTCCTCAGTCATTAGAGGAAATCCGAGTTCCCAGGAAAAGAGCAGCCCTCTGAAGAGCTGCCCCCCTGCTGTCTTGCAGTAACCTTTTCTATGGATTTTAATAGACGATTACTATTACGCGGAGCCTTATGTGCCGGGCCCCATTCCAAGCACTTTAAATAAATCAACTTGTTAAGTTGTCATTTCAGCCTTGTGAGGTAACCTCATTCCTGTCCCCTTTACAGAAGAGCCTTTTGTGATGGCTGGAGATTTATGCTGCCCTGAAGCCCCATGGTGCCCTAGCACCCCCGCCACACCATCATGGGCCCCTTGGCTCTCAATACCAGCTTCACCCATCTTGTAGGCCCCTTGTGTTGCATCGTTCCCATAGTTTGGTTACTTACCGGCGTGTGGGAAGCCGCTGGCAAACACCAGAGATTTCCACAGCGAACCCACATGAGCTGCACACGAGAATGTGCTCTTGGGTACATTTGAAATCCCCAAAGGGGCCTCCTTTCCACCTTGGCTCTGCCGTTGTTGGGAACCTGACTCCGGGAGCCTCTTTTACCCACTGTTGAAGACTGTGGTTAAAAAGGATCTTCTCCTCGGTAGGAGATATTGATGCTTTGGGAAGATAAACCCCAAACCGGCATTTGTTTTCCATGCCTCTGTGTCTCTGCTCACCTGTCCCCTGAGTGGCAGGAGCAGGCCGAGACCTGTTTGCTCGAAAGAATCAGCACCAGAAGAGTTTGCTTGCAATCTCTCCCAGTGATCTCAGCTCTTGGATCAGCAAGCAGCAGCGGCTGTATTTAGATTTGAGTAAGAACTTCCTCCCCACCCGCCACCCTGTTTATCTCTCTCAGCTTCTGCAGCCGCTGCAGTTTGGAGCCTGTTGTGCTGGCACGGAGCAGAAGAGGTCAGATCGGGTGCCCGGTGTGGTGTGTGCCTTTATGGTGCACCATTATTCATGAGCAAATTAGTACCGTGTCCTAATAAAGGAGCTGACTAACCTCGCATACAGTCTGTTTAGGAGATACTGCATGTGTTAAAACGACACACACAAGCCCTCCTGGATCCAGCAAGAAGAGAGAAAGGCAGACAGGGGCATTGGATAAAGAAGGGGAACAGAGAAAGCTGGCCGAATCAGAGTTCCCCAAGTGGCAATGGTTGCAGTTAGGGACCGGCTGATGATGGACTGCAGGTCTGAGTTCAGTTTTCATGTAAGCCTAAGTCACCATGTGAGGAAGCCTGCAATAAGTTCTTTAACTGAGGGAAGGACTTTGTAACTAGTTATATCTGGAATTTTCCACACTGGATTTCCTTGGAAAAGTGAACATTGATGCCAAAAGGCAATTATTGTAAATATATTTCTTGATCATCGACTTCAGGCTTCAGGCTGCTCATGGTGGGAGAGCTGACCCACAAAAATCTACCCACACCCCTGTCTTCCCAGTTTGTCCTTTAGAGCAGACCAGTAGATCCTGAGATAATCCCATTGCATGCACCCAGACTCCAGCCTCCTCTTCTCCAGCCAAGCAATGTTTCATTCTGAGAACATCCATGTCAGTGATCCAGTGGGGCTGGAAGCTTCAAGAAATTCTTTGCCAGCCCATTATTTAACCTGCACCTGGGAGTCAGTTTGTCCTAAAATCTCTGTATCAACATCATTTCTAGCCGATAAACTGACCATTGTTCTCTATGTATTCCTTCACACATATTACAACAGGCCATTGATCTTTGCCGTCCCCCCATCCCCACCCCGCTCCGGAGTCCGGAGTCTGGAGTCTGGACTCCATGTGAATACGAGAGCCCAGCTACCCTCCAGTGGCCATGTCATAGCAGGTCGGCTGAGTGGTCAAGGATGGAAGGAGCAAGGGAGGCAGCCCACTCCATCACTGCCGGAGACAACCCTTCAGCTGGAAGGGACCAGGCCAGCCACTGAGGTGTCTTGTTAAAATGTCCAAATCAGCTTTACAACGTGCAGCGTTTAGGTGGTAAGTCGTCTGGGAGATCATGGCCCAAGAGTGGCAAATGTGTCCAGTTTCCTTCGCCTCTCCTCTTTGGGCCATTCTATAATCCACCCCAGTCTCCTCCCCACCCTTGCCCTCCACTTGGAGTGGGAGGGCTTCACACACCCTGAGTGTTTGGGGGTTCTGTGCTATTCTTCCCTCTCCCTCTGTGGAGATGCTCCTGGTCTGTTTCCACTGCATCTGGACAACTCCTAGCTCTGTCTGCATCTCAGTGATGTCAAGCTTTTAATCTACCTCTCCAGATGGCCTTTTCCACCACCCTCAAATTCTAGGGATCGTCAAGGAGCTCTTGCTCATCTTTTATGGCTGCCCTCTGGACCTGCTGTTGTCAAAGGAACCACATGCACCCACAGATAGTGACTCTGTTATTGAGGGTTTTCAGCTGCTCTCCCCTGTCCTCCACCAATGTGCATAAAGTAGGCCTGTCGTGGAGCTCAGAGCATAGCACTCCTGCTGGACCCCTCTGCCTACAGGCACTGCTCGGCATGCATCTGGCCTTCCTTTCCAATCTCAAATCTCTGGGACATTCTCCCCTGTGCCAT